AAATATTATAGTCTTTGAACTGAAATACATTTGAAGTTTCGCATTACAAACTGACTTTAGTTAGATTGTCACTAGAAACTATACGATTCTATACGATTCCTCAATAGTCCCCATATACAACGTAATCATGGGTTGGATCTAGAATTTTCAGATCTCACAACGAGCATACTTTTTGACCAATGAGTTGGCATTCAATGGTTTACATTTCTAAGTTTAGTGAGTTTATACTGTTATCCAGCCATTATCTTTCTCCATTGGTTATATTTGTCTCACTTCTTATATGGTTGAACTCGACTAGTTTCAATCTCTTACCAGAACTCTGAGAATTATCTTATAAAATTATTTACCAGTAAGCAGGTGATGATTTCTATTATGAGTTGTTGTGAAGATTGTCGACTTTGAGGTTTCATATCATAGATTGATTTTCATCATCTAGATTTTCCATAAGCTCTTTCCTTTTGTTTAAAACCAGGCAGTATTATGTAAATGCTTGTCAATAAAGCTTTACAATGTCCATTGTTCAGAAAATTGAAATCCTGACACAGTTCATAATTTTGATTTGTGTGAGGGCTGGTATACTGTCTGGGTGCCCAAACCAAAGCAGGTGATTTTATTAGATGGGGGGGGGGCACACCAGGAGCCTTCAAATTACAGGTCTGATCCAAAAGACAATGGAGCCTATGTGCACCATTGGTTTGAAATCAGGGTTTTTCACCCTCTCAAAGTGGATATGGAGGATTCAACAACCGGGTAAACACACTGGACATTCGCTTATAGTCCTCTCAATTTCGTAAACAACACCCTAGCTACGAGAAGTCAGTGAGTAAGACTTCCTTGTCATTGGTTGTATTCACGTGGCCATTTGAGAGCATTTGTATAGGGAGAGATTACTTTTTCCACCCTCGACTGTACCAAGGCATTTGGGGTCTCATATATTACAAGATTCTTTGTTAAGTTTTTTTACTCTAATGACCATTTATTTCTTCCTATAGCAATTGATTTCCTGAATTCCTGAAAGTTACATGTTCCTAAATCATCAAGTAACTGTTAAGGCTTAGTATTTAGGTAACCAAAGATTATAAGCTATATCATTTGTCCTGTCAAAACACTAACCTTAGATACAGTTCAATAAAAGCAGTGGACGTGTTTTGATCGAGTCACCTAATAATTACATTTAAGCAGTAACTAATCTTTAAACTAATCCATATTAGTTTTGTATAATCTACTTATCTCAAATGAATCATAATTATATGACCTATTTATTCAGGAAAAACCATTCATCACATCACAGATTTTCGCTTATTCTTATTGAATTTTTAATAACTGCATATAGTACAATTCAAAGTTCAATAGATAATGTTATTGAATATCATCTATCTTTCATTAAAGCGCGTATAGAGCCACTGCCAAGGAAGTCCTACTCATTGTCTTCTCGCAGCGAGAGTGTTGTTTACGAGATCGAGAGGATAAAAAGTGAGTGTCCGGCACCTTAACCGGGTCGGTAGACATCGAGGGTCCACCTAGGGGAGTTGGATCCTGAAGAAACAAATGACGTATAGAACTTATTGTTGGTCACCGGTTATCATGAGGCTGCATCTCCTGACGTTATATAAGTTGAAGAATTACTAAAAAACCATGTATGAACTGTTGGCTTGTAAATCAATTGTCCAAAAATTCTGTGCTCACTACAAGATCTGGGTTGCCTATCTGACACCACTATGATTTAACAATAATAAGATGTCATAAGCTGAGATGAAGCACCTACCTGAGTTTTAATAGCTCTGCAGTTGATATCGCTTCATGATGGATAGTAACTTCAAATAAATTATTTAAACAGCACATTTATTGATATTTTAACCATTAGCTTATGTCGATATTTGAGATGTGTAGTAGTGTAGATATACAAATGTATATGACTATATATTTTTGACGACAAAGACAACCTATTAATTTGATTTCGTGCAACTTGAGTGTGACAGTATATGAAAACTGTTACTTAACTGATAGTGTATGGATAATTTGTAACTAAGATGTGATAAACAAAGAAATTTTTCACGGCTAAATTCACGAATTGATCGAAGGTAGACCGCGATTGAAAACCTGGAAGCACTGAACGGCCATTTTGTCCTACTATGGGACTCCTTAATAGTGCACATTCATGATCCCGCACCAAAGGAACTAGAACCCACCTTAGACAATGGATGGAGGTTTGAACAAGATAATGGATTGATTGAAGTTAAACATTAACACAGTTGGCTGTCGGCTCAGTAGTCTAGAGATTAAGCGTCCACACGGAAGACCGAATGTCCTGAGTTAAAACCCCTTTGATGTGGGATCGTAGATACGCACTGCTGAGGTGTCCCGTACTTGAATGAAACAGTCATCCAGTAATTCCAGGTTTTCAACAGTGGTCTAGGTTCAATCAACTGGTGAATTTAATTTTGAAAAATATTGAAAATTTCTATTTGTACTTTACCTTAATACAATAAGAACTTAAATTTTAGCCTATAGATGAATTGTACCATTATGAAAAGCTTATCATTAGATAATATCCAAGACATCTGCAAATTCTCTACGCAGATCATCCATTATATACCTAACAACGGTTGAACGGTGAACGGTTGCGCAAAAACATCGTGGATTGGTTGAAGTTAGACATTAACACCGTTGGATGCCGGCTCGGTGGTCTGTTGTTTAAGTGCTCAGGCGCGAGATTGGTAGGTCCTGGGTTCAAATCTCGTGAGTGCGGGGTCGTGGATGTGCATTGCCACTGAGGAGTCCCATAATAGGACGAAAAGGCCGTCAAGCAATGCTTCCAGGTTTCCCATGGTCAATTGACTCATGACTTCAACTATGAAAAATACTGAAATCTCCACAAAGCCCCTTCTGATCTATATACCTAATAAATGGTATTTTTGAAGTGATATTCAAATATAAATGTTTAAAGGGTTTAAAGGGTTTTTATTAGTAACCATTCTCTATATGTAAACAGGAAGTCAACTTATAAACCTGTAATTAAAACAATAAAAAGGTTTTCAGTTGTTACATTCCATAATCAATAGGTGTATTCATTACCAAGGTGAATAAATCAATCATTGGTAACACTGGCTTACAGTATAAATTTGATTGGTTTAGTCAACAGTTAATAAGTACACATATGTAATAGGTCAGTGGTGATGAATTTTGACCTGTAAAGTAAGTTAAACTAGTAAATTGGGAAGTGTGTAATAATGATCTAATTTGAACTGTAGAAAGATTGGAGATCATATAAAACGAGATCGTTTTTTTCTTTTGTTTCTTTTTAATTCTGCGAATCACCAACAAATAGCATTAATAAGTCATTGAAAGAGAAGATATAGAATAATGATCACAATTGATTGATCACTGGATGGTGATCAATGTCATGAGTGTCAAGTCTTTCTTAGTGATGATCGAATGCTATCGATCAAGTTGCAATGTGGTCACTAGTCTGGGTGGCTCGACATTGCGTGCACTATGTTGAATGCAGATGGTGGTTGGAGGTAGTCAACAGGAAACCTTGGATCCGGGGTTCGTGCTACTTGGCACTCGTCAGCAAAGTGTACCTGTAATCTTGAGGGAACTGGTGCTCCCCGAGGGATTCGATCCCGTGTCACTCAGCTTTACAGTCAGAGACGTTACCACTGAGCTATTCGGGCCGCGACCAACCTCCTGTATGACTGAGATGTAATCACAATTGATTGATCACTGGGTGCTGATCAATGTTATGCGTGTCAAGTCCTTCTTAGAGTAATGAATTCAACTGCGATACATAACTTCATGGGGTTGAGTTCTACTCGGCATGAGATATTGTATTCACACTATTAAGTTTCAAATTAAGATACACTAGTTGAAGTCTTTTTGTATTTAGAACTGTTATATCCTTGATCTATCTACCCACTAATATGCAGAAGATTACTTGTCTCAATCTAGATTAAGACGTTGATACGATAGGCTGACTGGTTCATTCTTGAAGCTAGAATCGCATGAGTTCAAAGTGTAACCAACTGTGTTAGATACAGAGATGAAAACAATCCTATCCTTTGAGTAGTTGACAAGCGAGCGAATGAGAAGATCAGTCAATTTGAACACTACTCGATCAATTCTTGATTCCGATACACTAATATGTCCAAAAGTAGTCATTAAGGTAGAAAAATAGAGTAACAAAGATTTCGTATAAATTGTAGTAACTTTGGAACAAAAAATAACTATGGTCTTCAACCATACATCAAACGAAAGCTTATAGTTTGTAGAATAAACTACGGAAAAAATCAATAAATATTAATGTTTCACAAACTTTGAATTCAGTGAAATAGCGTCCCCGAATAAAAGCTTCCATCGTTTGTCATGACATCAAGAACCAATTTCAAAGATTTCTTTTTAATCGCCCCCAAATGACATGGTACGGTCCAGTGTGGGGAGAATCAGCTCCCTCTCGAAATGCTTTCACATGGCCACGTGAATATAACAACTACTAAAGAAGTCCTACTCACTGCCTTTTCGAAGCAGGGGTGTGTTTTAACGAAGTCGAGGGGGTGAAAAGCATATGTCCGACGGTTTGACCTAGTTGAAGGGTACAAAAGATCCACCTAGGGGAGTTGGAAAACCTTGATTCCAAACCAACGGTTCATATAAGCTCTAGGATCTTGAACGAACAAATGGCTTATGAACTTATTGTTGGTCACCAACTCCTGACGTTGCCCTACTGTCTTGTTGATTAAAGCTTTAGATTAAAAGCTTCGAGTATGCCACCCCCCTAGGTACTCGAGCAGTATCCCAGCTCTCACATATAAACCAAATGATTTATGTGGCCTATTTATATTTGATGCCTTCTTATTGTACCAATGTTTATATGTTCATTCATTCAACCCTTCTTATTCTCATTTTAGCTTAGTGATTACAAATGGATGTACCAAATACATACATACACCATACATAAACCATTCATTATCTTCTAATCAGAAATGAACAACTAAATTACAATGATCAATCATAGATACAACAATGTAATACATCAATTGATTACATCATCAAACTGTTTATTATTAACTAGAATATATTCTCATCTATTTTTCAATGTAACTTTTGTCCTTTATTATTTAACCCTATATACTACTTTTTCCATTCATGGTAACACTATACATAATATAGATGAATTAACATTTAAAATATTAGAAGAATTACCTAAAGGTACAATTATTGCATCAAATCATCAATTAGGTAATTTATTTATACAATTTAATAATCACCATGGTAACAATCAAAATCTAACAAAACTCATTAAAATATTAAATTTAAAAGATTCAGGTGTACAATGTTTTCAATTTAAATGGGTTCAATTAAATCAATTAAATGAATTACAATTGATTGTTAATGATCGAATAGATCGTGAATTGATATGTCCACTTATAAATCATGAATTAAGTAGTATGACTAGTAGTATAAGTAGTAGTAGTCTGGACCTTCATCATGGAAATGATCCAACTATGAATACTGATTGTATTATTACATTAAGAATAGGATTATTTATGAATAATATACAAAAATTTTATCAAATTCATATTATTATAGAAGATATTAATGATAATATACCAAAATGGAATATAAATAAAATAATTATAAATTTTCATGATGAAGATCAACCAGGGACGAAACAATCTATACCATTAGCTAAAGATATAGATATTGGTATTAATGCTAAAATTCATTATCAATTATTCAATTCAGATATCAATTCATATAACAATGATAATAATAATAATAATAATAATGATATATATTCATATATATTGAATAAAGCGGAAAATTTAAAATTGCGCGGTACCGATATATTTGAATTAATGATAGAATCAAGGAATTCAGATCATGAACGTTTATTTTTAATAACACAATCACATTTAGATCGTGAAACAAATCCTTATGGTTGGTATTTATTATTAATGGCTATAAATAATGAAAGTTTAATTCAATTAAGTAGTAATTTATTAATTCATATCAATCTTATAGATATTAATGATAATAGTCCAAAATTTACTCAGTTATTATATAAACCCCAATTATCTAATCAAAAAATTGGATCAATACCAGAAAATTATCCAGTAGGTAAAACAATATTAAAAGTACATGCTATTGATATTGATGAAGGTAAAAATGCTGAAATCAATTATAATTTTGCCCCAGATACAACAAATCAATTAATTCATTATTTTTTTGAAATAACTAAAAATGGTGAATTACGTATTCTTCATCCTTTAAATGTTGATATAATTACATATGAGAATACAAATCGTTTATATTTACCAACTACAATGATTAATTTTGATATCATTGCTATAGATGGTGCTATTCTACCATATACTAAAACTGGTTCTACTACAATACAAATAGAAATAGAAAATATTGATGATGAATCACCAATTATACAAATTCATCCTATACAATTCCTATCACAAGATACTTTTTCTATATTGAATAATCAAAGAATAAAAGAAACAGAATTAACAATTTTAGAAAATCAATCACCTGGACAATTAATTGCATTAATTGAAGTTAAAGATCCTGATTTATTAATTCATAATACTATACAATGTATATTAACTGGTCCATATGCATTAGATTTTCGTTTATCTTATCAAGATTCAATTAATCATGAATATCGATTATATACAGAGACAATACTGGATCGTGAAAAACAAGATCAATTATTATTATCTATTGAATGTAAAGATCAAGCTAATCATATAACATTAGATCATATGATTATTCATATACTTGATATAAATGATCATAAACCACAATGTATTGAATCACATTATTATTTTTCATTATATGAAGATGATAATGAATATGATAATTATAATATAAGTAGTATAAATCGTACATGGTTAACAACAAATGGTTTAGCATATATTATAGCTAATGATAATGATATTGAATTAAATAGTCAAATTAATTATCGATTATCAATAGAATCAATTAATAATTATAATAATCAATTTACAATTAATTCAATAACTGGACAATTATTAGCATGGGGTCCATTTGATCGTGAATTAATATCAATTTATGAATTATTGATTATTATTCAAGATAATGGTTATCCAATACAATTAAATAATAGTTGCCAAGTGACTATAAATATTTTAGATATTAATGATAATTCACCAATATTTTATACACCATTTAATAATCATATAGGGGGTTATATATTTAATATAAATGAAAATCAGTTACCAGGTACATGGATTGGACAAATTCAAGCATATGATTTAGATGATTTACCAGCTTCAATCAATATAATAGAATATTTGAATGATTATACTACTACTAGTACTACTACTAATAATAATAAAGTTAAAGGAATAAATAAGAAATTAACTTATTCATTAAAAAATGAACATACTACTCAAATGTTTCGAATTGATCCTAAAACTGGTGTGATTATGACTCGGTAAGTATATAAGAATAACATTTCAATGAAAAAGAAAGATGAATAATGGTTGGCAGTGGAATTGAGGACATGAGCTTTGTCCTATTTGGGACTCGTCAGCTGGATGCGCATGTATGTAAGAGTTGATGTTCACTTTGGGATTCGAATCCAGTAGATTTCGCTTCAAACGTCATCGTGTTATCTACTCAGTTATCCATTCGAGTCCCAGAGTGAACATCAACTGTGAGATGCAGGTACATCCAGCTGACGAGTCCCAAATAGTACGAAACGCGTGTCAAACTGGATTCCAATACTAGCCACTATCCATCTTTGCTTATAATCCTTGTGAATTAAGGCTATATTGAGGCAATACGCACAGTATGCACATATGCCAATTAGAGACTGACCAGTTGCAGTCCTAAAAACATCAATGGGAAAATTCAACCAAACAATACTAAATGAGTTTAGAAGTAACAGTTTTGAAGAAAAAAAAAGCAATAAAATATTTGCAATTTCGAAATGAAAAATTAATTTTCCTCAGAAACTATTTTTACAAATAAAAAACGATTTTCAGTCCCCCTATTTAATAAAAAAAAAACGAAATTTATAATCCACAGAAGTTTTTTTCAAAAAAAAAAAGATTCTATCAAACGAAATAGTTGAGTTACGGGAATAGAATATTCTTCAAAATTTATTTAACACTTCAGTACTCATTGTCTGATCTATATGTAGCATTGCCATAAAGCTACTTGATATTAGACACAATCAATATACCGATCCCTATGCATATACATACAGACGTGAAAAAAAAGAAAGAAAACTGGTTTCTAGGAAAAAAACAACTGGCAAAGCAAACGGTTTACATCAAACAAAGACTTAAGATCGTGTAGATATATATCTGTGTTGAGGGGGGGGGGTGATTTTTTTTGTTTTCACACATCCCCCCTACTTTCACGTCATCATCAGCTTATTCAAAATTTACCACTTGTTATTACATCAATAAAATATCACAGATACACAGACTGTCGAATATTGACATACATACATAGATATACACGAACACGTTTGCCTTTCCTGTTTCTTCTTCCCAAGAACGATACTTCATTATTATTAGGTTAAGGTCTTCCAAAGAAAATTTCTATGCATAAATATCTATTAATTAGAATATACTCGTCATTTTTCATAGTTCACATATGAACCGTTCAGTTTCTCATAGATACACACATAGATACATATACAAGCAACTATTTACAAATATGCTCATTTCTTGTTGAACAAGTCCACAATTAGTTCCATCAAATGATTCATCAGAATGATGATGATGATGATCATAACTATGGATGATGTTGACAATTTTCATAAATTACATTAGAAGTGATAAATGAAACACAATTTGAGTATATTATACATTAATAATTTGAATTTGAGTTAAAGTAAATCGAATAATTTTTTTTATATAGTTAAGATCATGAGTCAGTTGAAGCTAGGCCACCATGGAAAACCTGGAAGTGCTGGACGGTCGTTTCGTTCTATTGTGGGACTACTCAGGTTGAGGTTAGACAGACTGCCGGACAGATCACTGGTCTAGAGGTTAAGCGCTCTGGCGTGATACTGGTAGGTCCTGAGTTCGAATCCCACGGGGCGAAATCGTGGATGCGCACTGTCACTAAGGTGTTTCACAATAGGACGAAACGACCGTCCAGTACTTCCAGGTTTTCCATGGTGGTCTAGCTTCAAATGACTCATGATCTTAACTATATAAAATTACTAGAATTTCCACAAAACCCCCATTGTGAGAATAATTTTTTTTCCTTTTTTTGATTGAGATCATAAAACGATCGATGTTCGATGATGGTGCATAGACTACAGCTGAGAGGTTCATATATATATATATATATATTTCTCAGCAATGCGCATCCACAATCGAACGTGGCACCTACGATCTCATGCAAGAACGCCCAACTTCTAAACTACTGGTCCAGCTGGCATCCCATATTGTTAATATCCAAGTTCAATCAATCAATAATATTGAGTGACCATCCTCCATTATCTTTGGCGGGTAGATGTCCCACACCTAAAAAGATTAAACTGCACTGGCCACAGATTCTCACTAGGACTTCTTAAATTTCCTCTTGAACCTAGTCACTAGTGTATACATGAAAACTGCAAACGGAACTGAATTGATTGAAGTTATGCGTTAACACTATTGGATGCTAGCTGGTCCAGTGGTCTAGAGTATGAAAGTTCGACCGCGAGGCCTAAGGTTCCGGCTCTCCATTTTCTCATGGGGGTTTGTGGGCGCCCATTGTTGAGATGTCAAATATTAGGACGAATTAGTTGTAAAATGCTTTCAAGTTATCATTAGTGGTTTAACATTGGTTGTTTCATGATTCAGACGAAACTCAACAATATACAACCCTGTATTTATTAAATACATTTTTGTTTTCATCTTGATATCTTTTAGCTAGTTACAATTGAGAAATGGTACGTATATATTTAAACACTCACGTTATATAAATAAAAGAAAGGGGTTTATTGTAGAATTGTATTATTTATTTATTTATTTGTTTGAACACATAAATATTGGTACAAAGGGACACCAGATATGTATGTGCCACACAAATCTCATTTCATTTGTGTGAGGGCTGTGATACTGTCCACGTGACCAAACTGAGGCAGGTGTTTTTCTTAGGGTAGCGCATTAGGAGCCTTTGACCCAAAGGCCTAATCCACAAGGCAGTGAATCATCGTGAGAAGATGCAGTGCCATGGTAGCCTGTGACCAACGATTGATTTATACACCATTTGTTCCCTCAGGATACTGGAGCTCATGTGCACCATTGGTTTGAAATCAAGGTTTTCCAACTCCCCTATGTAGACTCGCTGTGCCCACCAACCCGATTAAAGCGCCAAACATTCGCTTTTTGTCTTCTCAATTTCGTAAACAACATCCGTGGTGTGGGAAGGCAATGAGTAGGACTTATTTGGCAATGGCTGTATACGCGTGTCCATGTGAGAGCATTTGGGGAGTGAGATCGGACTTTCTCCACTCTCGGCCGTATCAAGGCATTTTGGGGCTATAATAATGAACTGACATTATCTAAAATGTCAAAATGCTATTTAACCAAATGGATGAATAAACTCTGTGTCGAAATTCAAGACCTATCATCATAAATCTGATTGGTTCGTTCATAAATTATACATATATATACAGACTAACTTTAAACGAGATTTCCATGCAAATTCACATTGGTACTCCATTTTGATTTCTATCAGTTTAACTCGCTTTATTTGTTGAATATGTTAATGAATGACATTTGAATCATCAGTTCATACGTCACCTATATCTAATGACCCAATACGAGCAAATGATAAACATCTATCGTTCTTTATAGTTGAAATAGGTTATAAGATTGATCTTAACTGAGCTTTTATGGTTTTGTAATAAAGTGTTTAAGGGCATATATTAAGGTTTATTGAAACCTTAACCATACGAAAGTTCAAATGTCTTTTATGCATTCAAAAACAAACAATTTGTTCTCACCCTACACATACTTTAAGATTATTTTCATAGTTGACAGCGTGAGTCAATTGAAGCTAGACCACCATGGAAAACCTGGAAGCCGTTTCTTCCTATTGTGGGACTCCTTAGTGACAGTGCGCATCCACGATCCCGCACTCGCGTGATTCGAACCCAGGACCTACCAGTCTCGTGTCAGAGCACTTAACCAACAGACCACTGAGCCGGCAGCCAGTGGTGTTAATGTCTAACTTCAACTGATCCACGAAGTTGAGCAACCGTTCACCAATTTTCTTCAATGAGTTAATATCTCACAACTATAAAAATACTAAATCTCCACAAAACCCCTTCTAATACTTTAGGAATATTGTTTTAAGATCCTTGAGCGCTGGGTTTCTCACTCATTTTATCACAGTATTTCCATGAATATTACCTCTGTCTCCGATTACCCGACATTTGTTTAGTTTATTCAAATATTCTTAACTAGTATATATGTGATCAGATTGTTCGAAACGTAATGCGTAAATAAATCAAATAATTCTGATAATTATCAACATAGTGTTGTGCAGATTGTTGCGTTTCGTTTAAGCTCATGAATCGATCAATGTTAGACCACCACTAAAGATCTGAAAGCACTAGACTGAAATTCCTTAGTTCGAATCCTGCGTATGGAATTGTGGATACACACTGTTGAAGAGTCGCATAGTACGACGAAACAGTTGTCCTATACTTCCAGGTCTTCAGTGCTAGTCTAACACTGATCAATTCATGATCTCAATCAAAATTCTGTTACATCATCCAAACTTACAATGATCTTATTAAATTAATCCTTGTTATCAGATTGAATCATTAGACAGTTCATTTTAATTACAATAATACTCTATTTCTTCAAAGAGCTTTATCAATATTTCTATTGTTCTTTTACAATGAAAGGAAATAAGGTTTAATCTATTTGGCATTTTGCCAAAAATGGATTTTTATAATCTTGGCTTTAACGTATAAGTAGTGATCTGTTTTTGATATTCCTTAAATATTCTTAATTTGAATGATACATGTTTAATAATTTACATGATTAATGTAAAGAATTCATTCATATTATGTTGAACTTAATTATTTATTGAAATCAAATTCAACAACCACTTGGTGTTGTCTGCTTGTATCTTCCTATTGTTGTCTAGGAATGCAATGGATCAGTCTCTTATTGGCATATGTGTATCCTGTGTGGATCGCCTTGATAATAGATTAAGTCATAAACATGATAAGCAAAGATGGATAGTAACTAGAAGTGGAATCCAGGATACACGCTTTGTCCGACTTGGGAATCGTCAGCTGGATGTACCTGTATCTTAGAGTTGATGTTCACTCCGGGACTTGAACTCAGTACCGTTCGCTTCGCTAAGTGGATAACCTACTTACTTGCTTACTTACTTACTTACGTCGGTTACTCCCAATGAAGCATAGGCCGCCGAACAATATCCTCCAACTCACTCTGTCCTGGGCCTTTCTTCCAACTTCTATCCAACTTTTGTTCATTTTTCTCATGTCTGTCTTCATCTCTCGGAGTAATGTGTTCTTTGGTTTTCATCTCCTCCTTTGGCCTTTAAAATTCCATGTGAAGGCTTGCCTTGTGACACAGTCGGCTGCTTTCCTCAATGTGTGTCCTATCTACTTACAGTGCTTCTTCCTCTACTGAAATCTGGTTTGCTCTCTCCCACAGTGAGTTGTTACTGATAGTATCTGTCCAACGGATCCGAAGTATTTTGCATAGACAACTGTTGATATACACCTGTATCTTCTGGATGATGGCTTTCGTAGTTCTCCAGGTTTCCATATCATACAGTAGAACTGTCTTGACATTTGTATTGAAAATTCTGATCTTGGTATTGGTTGACAGTTGTTTTGGGTTTCAGATGTTCTTTAGTTGTAAATATGCTGCTATTGCTTTGTCGATCCTCGCCTTCACATCTGCATCAGATCCAATGTTCAGTTAATCTAAATAATTAATTAATTAACAGACTTCGATATAATTTAGTCATTCTAAAAACTGACTGTGAAAATAATAGAACGTTCGAACTTGAAAATAATACTCTTTAATTAAGATTTCAAATAATAGAACTATGAATGAATCATCGTTTTGAACAACACACTAATCATGCAATAATTTAAACAAAAGTCGGAACTTTTTTCTTTGATATCATTAACTAAACAGTGTTAGACAACCAGTGAAAACCTGGAAGCATTGAATGGTCGTTTTGTCCAAGTATAGGACTCCCTAACAGTGAACATCTAAGACCTTGCATGCTCAAGATTTTGGCTCGGCAGTCTGGAAGTCAAGCATTAACGCGTGAGACCTAAGGTGCTGTATCCAATTCTTTTTGTAGAGGATCGTTGATGCGCACGTCTGAGAAGTCCCATACTAGAATGAAACGGTCTTCAAGTAATTCTAGGCTTTCAATGGTAGTCTAAAATTGATTGGTTGATATTTTTAATGAAACTTAACAGTCTTCATAACTTTATACTTACAATAATATCTTTTCTCAATTGAAAAGAAATTTTTCCTGTATTTGTATTTTATGAAATATCTAAACGAGAATTTTCAATGTATTAGGATAGTCAGTCAGTCATTATTCTACAACGTGGGACCAGGCACATATATGAATCGGTCTAAGTTGACATACCTCGTCAGTACAACAAGATCAACAACAACTTTATAGAAGTAGTTACTTCAGTGGTAGTAATATATAAAGAAAGACTGTGTATAGCGATATAATGTAGGAAGGAGGAATTAGTTTGTAGAAATAAAGATATGAGGTAATTTTAATCTCACGGTTTAAGGGAAGACAATGGGTGTATACACCTACGCCAATGTGATCGATTCTGAGTCATGTCGCCTAGAGTCTCCAACCATTGGTTACGACAGTCACGCAGACCCCAACCAACTAGTCTGCATCTACCAACATGGCTCAGACTAGAGATTAGTGATTTTAAGCACTGATGCCATGTTTCGATTTGACCGCTCCTAACTCTCTTCCAACCATCCCCTATACTAGTCAGCATTGTGCATCGTGGTAATCGGTGTTCAGGCATACGTATCTCAGTCGATGAAGATTCATAACTTTATCAACTGATTTGACATCATTCCCTAATACCATGAGTCTAACCTTACTATTATTTACCCATTGATCTCAGCAGATGCAAGCAATATTTGTAAGGCATCTTTGGTCAAATACTAGTAGCTTACGAGTATCATATGCTGGGATAAAGATTCGTTTGATAACTTTCCGGCATTTTGAGAATCAATACTCTTTCGTTTCTAAAGAGTTCGAAAGATGGGATAGTTGAATGTTTTTCATTTCATTTCATAATCATGATGAAGCTATCTTTCCATTTTTCACTGTTGAGTCGATGTTTGCTTGTATCATTTTCTTTCTTTTTCTTAAAATTTCAAGAGCAATACTAGATCGTGAAATTCAGGCAACATATACATTCTATGCATATGTACATGATGGTCCTGATAATATTGTTCAAATAACAAATACTTCTAATAGCAATACTGAAATTCAACGTACTATAAATAGTTATCGTTCTCATACAGCTTCGATAATGATTACAATTACGGTACAAGATGAGAATGATAATGATCCAGTATTTGTTCGACCAAATTCAACGAATCATATGATATTACTAAATCCATCAGCTATACCTGGACAATCTTTATCACAAGTAAGTAATTATCATTGACTCATTAAAATTCTGATCAAACATTAACTAATTTCTGTAAAGGTTTATTTTTCACTATTGTTGAAGTTGATCAACCTTTATTGGAATATAGAATTCTTGGATGAATTCCAAGTTACTACCTGCATTTTCAAATTTATGATATTTGAAGTTCAGAAGGGGTTTTGTGGAGAATTTAGTATTTTCATAGTTGAAATCATGAGTCAATTGAAGCTAGACCACCATCGAAAACCTGGAAGCACTGGATGGCAGTTTCGTCCTATTATGGGATTCCTCAGCAAGACTGATGGCACGAGACTGGTATGTTCTGGGTTCGAATCTCGCGAGGGTGGGATCGCGGATGCGCACTGCTGAGGAGTCCCATAATAGGACGAAAAGGCCGTCAAGCAGTGTTTCCAAGTTTTCCATGGTAGTCTAGCTTCAATTGACTCATGATTTCAACTATGAAGCTATTTGAAGTGTTAATTAATTGCAAAGTGAGAAAGTTGCCTTTTGTCTCATATAAGACTCGTCATAATGATGGTGAATTCGCTGGAGTTAGGTATGTAAACCATTGGATACCAAATCAACAGTTTGAAGATTGAGCATCTGACATAGAGCGTGAGATCTCAAGCTCCGATCTCCTGTAGGATTAAGTATGCCCACTGCCTAAGAATCCTATACTACGAAGCAATAGCGATTCTTATTTCTCAGTGGTTCTCTAACTAGCATTAGTCCGTGATAGAAACCTCAATAATCTTCTTATACTGTCAATCGAGAAAGGTAATGAAAATGAAAAATTAGAATATGAAATCACATGCTGTAGACAGTTTTCGGGAACTTGAAGAATTGTGAATGAAGTAAACATACCTGCGTAACATATGAGGTCAATTGAATATGCAACAGCTCACCAGTGATATCTCTGATTATAATACTCCGTCACGTGCGTTTTAAACTTAATTTTTCACCCCCCTTTCCAATCATAAAGAATGGTGAAGCCTAGTAGGCCCTTCTGGAGAAGAGTGCTACATCGAAGTACGGCACAACTACCGGGGCGGGATAGCTGTTTCTGCACTGCTTACGCAGAACCATTACATAACACTCTCATTCGGCTTTTTTTTGGGGGGGGGGCAGACTCAATTTTACCATCTTTTTGAACCCTCAATAGTTATGCAATGACTCTTTGTAGCATTCGTAATTGTTCTCGAGTATTGGTAGAGTGGTTGATTAGGCCGATCTCCACCATCCTCATTACCGCTCACGTTAGTACTTGGGATAGTTGCCATGATCCAGCAGGTACGATGAGGACTTATGAGTCGGATTTTGCCTCCCTTTAAACTTAATTAGAACAAAAACTTCAAGAACCATGAATCCTGGGTCAATGATTTTCCACAGATTGACTCCAACCACCTAATATCTAATGACTATAAAAATTATGATTCACTCAGTGATTTAAAATAAATGAGTGAAAACAAAAAACCTTCTTATTGATGTTTAGGACTGCAATCGATCAGTCATTTATTAACATATGTGCATCCTGTGCGAATTGCCTCGATATCGCTTCAAATCACAAGCATTATAAGCTAAGTGAATAACACGATAAAGTTTGTAATGAACGACGCTAGATTTGTGTTCGAGAGTGAACATCAACTATGTGATGCAGTCACGTCCATCTCAAGAGTCCCGATAACGACGAAACCCATGTTTTGGAACCCACTACTAATCACCATCCATCTCTGTTTATAATGAAGTCGTTTTATTTCTGAATGTTTCATTCAAGATCCCGCACTCGCGAGATTCGAGCCCAGGACCTTCCAGTCTCGCACCGGAGCACTTAACCGATAAATCACTGAGCCGGCATCCAACGGTGCTAATGTCTAACTTCAACCAATCCACGATGTTTGAGCAACCGTTCACCAATTGTCTTCAGTGAGTTGATATCTCTACAACAGACTTGGTTGAACTCCTCTGGTCACTGCTTCCCACTAAAGATTAATCAAAAATGCAATAGCTATCAATCAAGACTAGACAAATGAGAAAACCGAATTACAACATCTCTAGTCAGTGTTACACATTTGATGGAACGGAACGCATCACAATACATCAACTTCTTTAATTACGATAAAGCATCCAATAACATTGATAGAAACACCTTGTGAAGTCTTTTTCGATACTATGTAGTATCTGAGAATGTCATCATTGTTTTAAAAGGTTCATATGAGTGATTAAATTGCTAAGTTATTCATTGAGGCCACTCATGGATTCATTAGGAGCAAAGAATAGTGTCAGACAAGGGTGTCTACTCTAACATTTGTTTTTCCTACTAGCTGTTCTACTTTTCGGAAGTAAGTAAGTAGTTTAGTAATTGATTGAACATCACATAATGAATAACTGATCAAACGATAACATATAATAACTAATCAGAAGGGGTTTTGTGGAGATTTCAGTATTTTCATAGTTGAAATCATAAGTCAATTGAAGCTAGACCACCATGGAAAACCTGGAAGCACTGCTTGACGGCCGTCTCGTCCTATTGTGTAACTCCAGGACCTACCAGTCTAGCGTCAGAGCACTTAACCGACAGACCACTGAGCCTAACTTAGTAACCTAATTTAGTAGATGAACATTCTCAAGGTCATTCAACATCACTCGAAGTTCATCCATCAATTCTAGTCTCATCATGATGAAATTCCACTGACTTTCATTTCATGATGATCAAAGACTTAATCATTTGTGTATTTTAATGGAACTAATTAGGGAATTAGAAAGTTTTAAATAACTTTTCAATATTGATTTTCTTTGTCTTTACAAACAAACTTCGTTTTTGTTTTACTTAACTTAAACAAAAACATTATCAATAGTGAAGAAGGTTATTTTTTTAATTAGCAACAAAACAAAATGAAATGTGAACTAGATATATGACATTTCGTCAATATCAACGATAAACTGATTTATATTGAATGATTATGTTATGTCCCGATTACAACTTCATTGTCCGCTGCCGGATTTTGCTGCCCTATGTCTAACAAAATCAGCGACCTAATTACCCAGGTCAAAGACAATAAAAAGATACGGTAGCATATACTAGGGAGAGGTGACTAACAACCTTCCCTGAGAGATTGTTTGTGCTTATGTGTGTCATGAAGTACTGGGACGGTAGCCATGGGTCCAATGATATATATGTAATGTGTAAGAGACAGTCTATTGTAGCAAATACGTTTCAAAGGGAGCGGTGAACATCTACCCTCCCAAGTGGGTGAGTATGCCTATATGTGTGCTATGGAATGCATGTGATAAAACTTGTGTTACCACTGTGCATGTAATGCATATTCGTTCATATGTATGTATGTATACCATGGGATACACAGATGAAGGCCCGTGTTTCAACTATCATGTGTTATGTCCCGATAAGAATAATAAATGATAACTTTGGGATCCATTTATGGAATAAAACTATGCATACAAATTTTTGTCGTATAATTGCTAAACAACTAAACTATTCATATTCATGTCCTTCTTATTATGAGCTTTATTTTGACCTATGAACTATTAGTATACGATTTACCATTCTTGGGTTATCCCCAGTCTGTTAATTACTGCCTCCCACATTCACAGTCACATTCGGCCAAATCTTGTACAAATGTTATTTTCTATTTTATAGTACGATGTGGTCAGTTTGATTGGTATATAAACTCAGTATGTTTGAAAAATAATGATTCATACCTCAGAGGCTAAGATTGGTGTTCTGGACTTAACTAGCTGGGCTAGGCAGCTAGCAGGACCGATACGTACTACAGACTGCTCGTACGGTTTTCCGTATATCATTGTTCCGATCGATAATTCGCTGCTCTCTAATTGGCGGTCTTATCATGTTATACATTAACAGGGCATCCACAAGGCGAATACAAGATATAATAGGTTAACACTTACTTTCTACCTAATTCTGATTGTCTATTAAATATCCGACATTTTAGTCATTAAAATAGAAGACTAAAGATGGAAAGTGTGATAACAAGTTTGTTTTCTTCTAAGATAAGTTCACATAAGAAAAAACAAAGACATTTGTCTTAATTTCTAAATTAATTTTTTTACTTTGCATATTCTGACTTCGTATCAAAGTGTTATAAATATGTGCTGATCTTTTATTCATTGAAATGATCCATAAAATACAAATTCATTTTTTAGTTTTTTCTAATTGGCAATACTTCACTCAGTCTTGCCCCCCAAAATGCCCTGGTATGCTCGATAGTGGAGAGAGTCCGCTCTCCCTCTCGAAGTGCTCTCACATGGCCACGAGTATATAGCCTCTACCAGGTAAGTCCTACTCACTGCATTCTCGCATCACGGGTGTTGTTTACGAAATTGAGAGGACGAAGAGCGAATATCCGGCAGGAGCTATAACCGGGTTGATGGACACGGTGAGTCCACGTAGGGGAGTTGGAAAACCCTGATTCCGAATCAATGGTGCACATGAGCTCCAGTATCCTTAAGGAACAAATGGCGTATGAATTAATCGTTGATCACCGGCTACCATAGGACTAATTTTCCTCACGATGCTCCACTGCCTTGCGGATTTGACCTTTAGGTCAAAGGCTCCAGGTGTGGCCTCTTTAGAAAACCACCTGTTTCAGTTTGGGCATCTGGGCAGTATCACAGTCCTCACACAAATCAAATGAGATTTATGTGGCGCATATATATGTGGTGCAACCTTGCACCAATATTTATATGTTTAAATCAATAATAATAAATAATCACTCACTTTTATTGATTCCCTGAGTAGTTTGATTTCCAAATGAGGAGTGTCAATTAACTAAAAGGAACTAAACTTTGTATCTTACCTCATAATTTACATAATTTCTGAATTCTTCTAATAGTCAATTTAAATTCAAATATATAATACATCTTCCTTACAAAATGTTCCTTCTTTGAAGTAAGTAGTTTTTATCGTACACATTAATTACTTACTTACGCTTGTTAGCCCTCCCTGAGAATCATTGATCACCCACCAACATTCTCTCCACACTTTGTCTTAGATAATCCTTTCCATCTGTTTCCAGTTGCTATTCATCCTTTTCACGTTGGATTCTAATTCCCTGACGTAGTGTATTCTTTGATCTTCCTCTTTTCCTCCCCAATATCAAGATTCCTATCCAGCTGCATCGTCTTTTCCTAATTTACTCTTCAGATCAAAGCTAGTTTGTTCTATCTCACAGTAGGCTATAGATGACGGACAACTGACATTGAGTATCTTATGTAGACAATGGTTTAAAAATACTGGTACTCTTTTGATGATGGTTGTAGTAGTTCTCCAAGTTTCAGCTCCATACAGTAAAAGTACCTCCATATTCGTATTGAAGATCTTCACTTTGGTGTTGATTGACAGTTGTTTTGACTTCCATATGTTCTTCAACTGTGGGGATGCTACCCTTTCTTTACCATTCCTTCACTTTATGTCTGCATCGGATCCTGGCCAGGTACGTGAACGTTTCCACCTCTTTCATATATACACATGCAAACTGAAAAATATGCCTAATATAGGGAGTTGTGGATATTGCTGAATATATAGTTTTACATCTCAGTTTGATTTTATCTAGACAACCATTAAGAATCAGAAATTACTGGACAGCTATTTTATTCTTGTCTCGTAAAATAGACATTTTAACTTATCAAAACATCTGGATAGAAATCCTTTCAAGTTGGTGAAGACTTGTAGCTCAGGTGAATGATTTCGATGGAGTTTTGTTCTCTGAGCTAGATGGTTTGATCGTGGAGCTTTCATCATCCTTTGTGAACGACATCAACAGCACAAACGTCTACGATTCAGATCAGTGAACAAAACTTCAAAATCATCCACCTCAGCTACAAATCTTCTCTACCATTTTAAAATACATGCATCTTTCAAGCAAGTCAATAAATCAACAGTTTTTTCATTCAAGAACCCATCAGTTTCAACTGTACTGTTCATAATTGTTTTAAAGATAGTTGAATCTACTCGTAAACTTCTTTCCTAGTTAAAATAGTGACGTCCATAGTATTGTTAGATAACTTGAATATGTCGATTAATCCAGCTAACGTGTTTTCTTTGCGAAGATGGACGGTGGCTAGCTTTAGAATCCAGGACGCGCATTTCGTCCTATTTGGGATTCGTTAGCTTGATATACCTGTATCCCAGAGTTGATGTTCACTCTGGGACTGTTTATTTTGCATTTTAAGCGTTTTATTATACGACTTATTATTTGCCTTATTTCCATCTAGTTATTAGCAATAGATCCAGACGAAGGTTTAAATGGACATGTATCTTATGCAATAAAAGGTGAAACAGCTGGAATATTATTCAATGTTGATCCAAGGACTGGACTATTATACCTAGAAAGTCAAATACCAAGACAATATTTAACAAATAATAAACAAAAAACGACAATAAATAATCAAGGAAATGATGTGACTTATCCAACATTTTTACTAGCAATAGATGCATGTGATCATGGGGAACCAAGACGATGTACGCACTTTCCAAATCTTCAAATACAGGTAACATACTGATATTACTACTTCTATTACCAATAATATTTGTATTAATAATAGTTGCTTTGTTATGAACCAAGTCAGCATTAAGCATCCACAACCTCACCATGGATCAAAGCAAAGACCCTCAGGCAGTTCAGCAACAACTTAAACGTGAAGAAATTGAGTTCACATCTTGTGCACTACATTTCTAACTTTGATCGATTCATGGGTGCTCGCTGTTAACAAGATCTACACTAGGATAAAACAGCACTAAAGCCTTTTCAGTAGTTATCTAATCAAAGTAATTCCCTGGAGTAACAATTGAGATATACTTTTTATACTTTTTATTCAATGAGTTCATTCTTACTTCTTGAATCACATATCCTATTCCTAGCCTTTATTATAATCAATGATTTTGTGACCACTTCTACTACTCTGGAGTTTAATTTCGTAAATTATTCTGACTTTCCGGGATCGATGCATTCGAATTGATGCAAGTACATACTGGGTTATGAGTTGCTTTCGACTAACTAACTGTTTCTTAGTTTCCAAATGATCTTTCAGTAAACGTTAGTTAGAAAGTATTCAAGATCTACATATTATCCATTCAACTTAAGTTTTTCTCGCCTGCATAAATAGGTCAAAAATGCATAATATATTTGTAACTATCCTAGAGATTAACTCCGCCTGTAGCCCCTCCGGAGGCTACTGCCGGTCCCAAGCCCGGATAAAGGAGGAGGGTTGGGCATGGGGTTAGCGACCCCATCCCGTAGAAAACTAACTCGCTAGAAAACGCTAACCAGAAAAAATTATTCAAATCATTTAAACTCTGCCCTTGGAGTTGGAAAAAGAATTATGACGCCTCATGATGAAAGCCGAATTCCTCTGGAAGTCACGGGGCCGATGCTCCTTCTAACAAACAGAGCAAACATGTTTATAGGAACGCGAAATGTCCCGACAATGTGGGAAACTGGGGGAGTCCTCCAACCTGGAGATGCTTGGGATCAGTGAAACTCATTGTACGAAGGTTGGACAACAACGGCTAGCTTCAGGAGAGCTTTTGTTGTACTCCGGCCATGAAGAAGAAAACGCCCGACATACACAAGTGGTTACATTGATGCTGTCCAAACAAGCACAAAATGTACTTGTAGAATGGGAATCTCATGGACCACGGATTATCAAAGCCTCCTTCAAAACAGAGAAAGAGTACATTACAATGAACGTCATCCAATGCTATGCGGCTACCAATGACTACGATGAAGACGTTAAAGATCGACTCTACTACAGGCTGCAGTCAATCGTTGAGAAGTACCCAACAAAGGATTTGACCATTCTGATGGGAAATTTCAATGCCAAGATTGGAATGGACAACACCGGATAAGAAGACATCATGGGACGACATGGACTGGGAGAAAGGAACGAAAATGGTGAGAGATTTGCAAACCTATAAACTGTTCTTGGGCGGCACTATATTCCCGTACAAACGTTTTCCCAAAACTATATGGACTTCACTGGACCACACTACACAAAACCAAATCGACCATATCTGCATCAATGAAATGTTAAGGAGGATAACGGAGGATTCGAGAACTCGGAGCGGAGCAGATATAGCATTACATGATCAATTGCTGGTCGCCAATATGAAATTAAAACTTACGAAGCCCTAAACAACTGGGCGGACAACATCACAAAAGTTTAATACCGCTTTTTTTAGGGATACTGAAAAACAACAAATTCAAGAGAGCCCTCAACAATAAGTTCCAGGCCTTTCATGATCTACTCAATGGAGAGGGAACTACTATGGAGAGCAACTAGACAGGGATAAAAGAGGCAATCACTTCAACATGTCAGGAGGTTATGGGTAACAAAAATCACCACCAAAAGGATGGATCACTGTTGGTTCACTGAACAAGATTGAAAAAAGGAAGAACAAGAAGGCAGCAATTAATATCAGCCGAACAAATGTAGAAAAAGTCAAGGTACAAGCCGAATACACAAAAGTGAACAAGCAAGTAAAGAGGAGCATCAGAGTCGACAAACGTAAATATGTGGAAGATTTGGCAATGAAAGCGGAAAAGGCTGCAAGAGAGGGAAACATGAGATAACTGTATGATACAACCAAGAAACTTGCTGGAAATTACCGTAGACAAGAACGACGAGTGGAAAGCAAGGAAGGCAAGATAAACACCAACATTGAAGAACAACGAAACAGGCGAGTAGAACACTTCAAAGAACTCTTGTGTCGACCAGCTCCACTGAACCCATCCAACATCGAAGCAACGCCTACGGACCTCCTAATAGTTGTTGGCCCACCAACAATTGAAGAGGTCAGCATGGCCATCAGACAAATCAAGAGCAGTAAAGCAGCAGGATCAGACAACATTCCAGCGGAGACACTCAAAGCAGATGTAGCAGTAACTGTGAAGATACTCCACATTCTTTTCAGCAACATTTGGGATGAAGAACAAGTACCAACAAACTAGAAAGAAGGAATTCTGATCAAAATACCAAAACAGGAGAACTCAGCAAGTGTGGTAACTACAGGGTCATCACTCTTCTTTCAATACCAGGAAAAGTCTTCAACAGAGTATTGTTATTCAGAATGACGGATTCCGTAGACGCCCAACTCGGAGACCAACAGGCTGAATTCCTTAGGGGTCGATCGTGAACAGACCAAACTGCAACTCTATGGATCATTGTGGAACACCCAATTGAATGGAATTTATCACTCTACATCAACTTCATTGACTACGAGAAGGCATTTTTATAGAGTGGATAGGACAACACTATGGAGGCTTCTTCGATACTACGGCGTACCTGAGAAGATAGTCAATGTCATACGGTATTCCTATGATGGATTAAACTGCGAGATTGTTCACGGAGGACAACTCACCGACTCATTCGAGGTAAAGACAGGTGTCAGGCAAGGTTGCTTTTTCTCACTCTTTCTCCTGGTGATTGACTGAATCATGAAGACGTCAACATCTGGAGGGAAGCATGGGATACATTGGACAACTAGGATGCAGCTGGACGATTTATACTTCGCGGATGATCTGGTTCTTCTATCACGCACGCAACAACAAATGCAGAATAAGACGACCAGTGTAGCAGAAGCCTCAGCAACAGTAGGTCTCAATATCAACAAAAGGGAAGAGCGAAATTCTCCGATACAACACAACATGCACCGATCGAATTACATTTGACGGAGAAGCTTTAGAGGATGTGGATGTATGAGGCGGAAACCTGGAGAACTACGAAGGCCACCATCCAGAAGATATCGGTACTTATCAACAGTTGTCTACACAAAATATTTCGGATCCGTTGACCAGACACTATCAGGAACAACCTACAGTGGGAGAGAACAAACCGGATTCCATGCAGTGGAGGAAGAAATCAGTAAGGAGCGCTGTAAGTGGATAAGACACACATTGAGGAAATCATCCAACTGTGTCACAAGGCAAGCCCTCACCTGGAATCTCCAAGGCCAAAGGAGGAAAGGGAGACCAAAGAACACATTACGCCAAGAAATGGAGACAGATATGAGAAGAATGAATAAAAATTGGATAGAAGTATGAAGGAAGGCACAGGACAGAGTAGGTTGAAGAATGCTGGTCGTTGACCTTTGCTCCATTGGGGATAACGGGAGTAAGTAAGTAAGCAAATAAGTAAGTGAGTATCTTAGAGATTAGTCACTGTTAACAAAGTTATATAGTACAAGAAAGTTGCATAGGGAAACTTTTTTTCAAATGATAGTCAAAAACACCTAACAACTGTTATCGGTTGAAATGTGTAAAGACTTAAAAAAATCTCTTTGAGATCACGAATTAATCTAAATTAGAAAAGTATTAAAAGCCTTAAACTTTTGAACAGTCGTTTCTTCTCAGTATGGAATTCCTCATTAAAGCACATCCACAAACCTGAAAATAAGAACTGAAATTTAAGACGTTCGAACGTGAGCACGACTGTTTAACCTTTAGATCACTCATTTGGAATCCAACAGTACAAAGAAATAAAAAAAACACTCCACCAAAATGTATACGATGTCTAGTGGAAGAATAATTTACATTTATTTTTATCTTTGATGTGTTCAGTTAATTATTTCTATTATTTAAGCAAATGTAAAATTAAAGAAATGACATTAAGTGATGATACTAAACAAACAGTATGAGTCCGTGGAGATTGTCGGAGTTTTATTAAGATCATGAACCGACCAATGTTAGACTAACATTGACAACCTGGAAGCTCTAGATAGCCGTTTCATTCTAGTATGGGACTTTTCAGCAGTGCGCGTTCACGGATCAGCACACGGGACTCTAATCCAAGACCTTTATCTCGCTTGTGAACGCTTAGGTCCTAGATCACTAAGCTGGCATTCGACGGTGTTGATAGTTAACTGCAAACATGGATCATGGATGCGCACTACCGAGGAGTTTCATACTGGGATGAAATAGCCATCTAGCACTTTCAGGATTTTACTGCTTCTCTAGCATTGACCAATTCATGATCTTAATTAAAATTAGGTAGATAATGTGACATTGACTGTTGCTCAATGAATTGCTATTATAAATAATTTGGTTTTGTTAAGCTGTTTTTTGAGTTGGATGGTTTAGTTTCTAAGCTTTGTATGTATGACATCAACAGGATCACTTTTGTGAAGAAGCAAACTTTCTAGGTGTTCTAAAGGCAATAAGTCAGTCTGTTCAGATTATTTTGTTTCCAACTGGTTGTCTTTATGAGTTTCATGATTTCCATGTGTCCTTATGTTACTGTTGAGTTATTTTTGTTCTGTTAACCTTTGAGCATTTGACTTGTTGACTTTTAATCTATGGCTTTATAAATTAGATTAATATCTGTGTGACTATTGATTATATATTGACTTGAATACTACATTTTTAGAGCTGACTTATTCACCAATCGGAAAACGACTTATACAATCTTAGCACTATGCCAAACCAATAACATTCGACCGGTATGGGCAACTTAGTGTCTTCATTGGTCCATTTTCCTCCTAACCCTTCCAGTTGAGTTCAGAACACCAATAATAGCTTCCACTATACGAATCATTTCAAATATATTTAGGTTATATACCAGCTAAACAGACCACATCACACCGTCAAAATAGGGAATAACAGTTACACAAGATCAAGCCGAAAAGTGTCTGTGAACGTAGGAGACTGTTGTTAATAAACTGAACATAACTTAAGAACAGTAAATCGCATAATATTGATTATTAGGTCAAAATGAAGCTTATAATAAGAGAAATATAGATATACATAATCTAGTTACTGGAATTTATTTATTTACTATTTATTTAAACACATAATTATTGATACAAAGGGGCACCAGATATATATGCGCCACACAAATCTCATTTGATTTGTGTGAGGGCTGTGATACTGCCCAGATGCCCAAACTGAAGCAGGTCGTTTTCTTAGTGGGCCACACCCGGAGCCTTTGACCTAAAGGTCTAATCCACAAGGCAGTTGAGTATCGTGGGGAGATGCAGTGCCATGGTAGCCGGTGACCAACGATTGATTCATACGCCATTTGTTCTCTCAGGATATTGGAGCTCATGTGAAACTTTGGTTTGGAACCAGGGTTTTCCAGCTCCCCCAGGTGAAATTTCCGTATCCGCCAACCCAGTTAAAGCGTCGGACATTTGCTTTTCGTCCTCTCAATTTCGTAAACAACGCTGGTGGTGCGAGAATGCAGTGAGTAGGACATCCCTGGTAGAGGCCATATATTCGCTGGCCATGTGAGAGCATTTCGAGAGGGAGAGTGAACTCTCCCCACTCTCGGCCGTACCAGGGCATTTGAAAAGTTGTACAATAAGAATAGATATAATATTTGTCCATTAATAGTTCACAGAAGTTGCCTGTAGTTTAATCTTCATTAAGATATAACAGAAGTGAATTATAGTAGGTCAGGAAACGTCAGAAATACAATTGTCTACTTATCGGGATATCACGAGAATATATTTTTTATTAACTTTCTACACAATGTCCAATTTAGTTGATATTATCAAGTCAAAATATGCCTTACTGACCAGTACCAGTACTAATTGTACACTCTGAAGGGATATTGTAATATTGTAGTAAACGAGAGCATATAAGTGGGGAAAACCGAATGTATTTGAATACAAGATAACAGAATATTTTAGTAAAATCTCAGAACCATACAGTAAATACTTCATTTACAAAGTATCAGTCAGTCGTCTCATACTTCATTGTTCTTTCGTTTCTACACCGATCATTTTCTGTTCTTGTTCCCTTCTCTTCCATCTTCTTAACATTCTGCTTCCAGAAATTTCCCTTTCGACTGATGACACGTACTACTTATATCTGTCGACATCAGTAGCACACAACATAATATATTTCAGTCGAAATAATAAGCTAATTAAAATGGATTTGATTTACTTTTGTATAAAAGACTATTGATTAACTGAATATCAAAAAAACCTGATACATGTACATCATGATTACTATGGATCAAAAACTAATTTATTGTCATCGTTCATTGACTAGAGATAGAGATATAGATCATTCAATTTCGAATCAGCAGCATTTCATTTGTCATTTGACCTTGGGCTAGATTCCGTGTAGAATCATGACTGAACACAGATGATGTTGTCATAAATCAAGATAAACTGTTGTTCAAATGCCCCTTGATCTTATGAAGCTTTCCTGTTAATAACTTCTCTTGATCGATACTATTTTTAAGCATGTTTAGATCCTTGAATTTTTAATCATCTCTTTGTCTATACATAGATTCGCAGTTCCTCGAATATTATTGACGAAGTGACATCTAATGAATATAGACAAACTGATTTATCTATTAATCAACAAGTTGATGACATTTTCATATCACAATCAAATCATGGATCTGTCTCATCGTCATCATCATCGGGTTCTGGTACTTCAACGACTTATCTTGGAAGAAATTCACTTGGTGAAATATTAATCATTGGATTATCTATATTTTTTTCAATATTAGTATTAATTATTCTATTTACTGTTTGTATTGTACGACGAAGAACTCAACAAATCATGCAGAATAATGAACGAATAAGTAAGCTATCATTATATTATTATTATAAATTTAGTTAGTATTGTTTGTTTGAATCTTCTCATTGATGTTTAATACAGCAACTGGTCAGTCTCTAATTGGCATATATGCATATTGTGCTTATTGCCTCGATATATAATGCGATGGCGTTTGAAGCGAAAGGTACTGAGTTCGAGCCTCAGAGTGAACATCAACTATGAGATGCAGGTACATCCAGCTGACGAGTCCCAAATAGGACGAAACGCACGTCCTGTATTCCTCTTCTAGCTACTATCCATCTTTGCTTATAATTATTATGTTTTTTCCATTTTTAATTATCAATATTTCGAAGAGTAACCAAACAATCAAACTAAACATACATATCGATTTCCAATAGGAAAATTTAATCAATAAATCAATACCTTCTATCAACATTGATTATTATAGATAATTGACTTATAACTAACTGAGGTAGTAAAGAGATGTCTAGTCCAACTGTAAGAAAACCATGAGATGTAGTCATATTAAAATTAATATATTCATAGTTTACTGTGGTGTGTATTACTGATGTTGACAGATATAAGTAATATGTATCAAGTAAATTTGACAATATATCTGTATATATCAGTATTGGTCAACGTCTACCATGAGACTGCATCCTCTGACGTTGCTCTACTGCATTGTGGATCAGACCTTTAGGTTGAATGCTCCGGTTGTTGACCCCTAATAAAACCACCTGCTTTGGTCTGGGCACTTGGGCAGTATCCCACTCCACTCACAAATCAAGTCACTTGTGTGGTGCATATGTATTCTGTGACACTTTATACCAATATTTATGTGTTCAGATAAATAAGTAAACAAATATCTCTAATACATGAACTATTGTAACAGTGATTATCCAAGATTTTCCATGGATGATTATCATTCTAAATTTCAACAGTAGGCAAATTAGGATAAACTTGACCTTTAAAGATGTGCTCAAATTATATTACACAGTTAGTATTGTAGTTTAGTTAAAGAAAAAGCAATAAAATCCTAATATATAAATGTCATCCAATAACAATAAAATGATAAGGATTGGTTGAAATTATATATTAACACCGTTGGATACCAGCTCAGTAGTCTAGAAGCTAAGCGCTTACGTGCGAGTTCGAAGGTGCTGGGTTCAACAACAGTTTGAGGGATAATGGATGCACATTACTGAGAAGTCCCATACTAGGACGATACGGACGTTCAGCGCATCTAGGTTTTTCATGGTGGTCTAGCTTTAATTGACTCATGAATTCAACTATTCAGATATCAAAAATCGTTTTTAAATACGTTTATGTTTAATGTTACAATGATCGGATTAAAATTACCATAAAATACAACTGTTTATTATGAGTAGATATGGACCATTGCTGGCAGTGGAGTCCACGACGTACATTTTGTCCTATTTGATACTAGTCAGTTGCATTACCTTTATCCCAGAGTTATTGTTTATATCCAGTTGACGAGTCCCGAATAGGAAGAAACGCATGTCCTGAATTCCACTGCTAGTCACTATTCAACTTTGCTTATAATGATTAGTTTCGATTAGCCTATTACCATTCTATACGATTTGCCTTGATGTAGCTAATTTTTACACAAGTTATTATGTACTTATCATCATGTTTTCGGCAATATGAAAGTAAAGATAAGTTTTTGATAAAGTGTATACTGGCTCTTCCTACTTATCTAACATATGATTACAGTTTCAACTTTAGCAAACTATATCTATTGATATTATTATTATTACTGCTTCCGGTATAAAAGCCAAATTATGTGAAAACACTTTTTTTCAAATGACTTAATTGCTATAGTTTTAATTATTTAATTGAGTAATTCAATAGAATCACTCCATCATTACCGTTTATGGTACTGTGGTGTGTACTACTGATGTCAACAGATTTAAGTAGTATGTATCATCATTCGAAGTTGAAATACCTGGAGGCAGAAGGTTAAGAAGATGGAAGAAAGGAGAACAAGAAAGAAGAACAACAGGATGATTGACTAATATTTTAGTTCTGAGATTTTACTGAGATATTTTGTAATTTTAAATTCAACTACATTCGATAGTCTTCCCTCGTGTTCCAGTTCACTACAGCACTATAAGATTATGTAAATGATCGATGAGTTAGTTACCAATTGAACTTTATCAAATAAACTGTTCACGTGAAGAAGATTTGTAGCATAGGTGAATGATGAATTTGGTATAGTTTTATTCATTGACCTGGATGGTAGAAGTTTGTGCTGATGATGTCGTTCAGAATAGCAATGAAAGCTCTACGACCAAACTATTCAGCTTAGAGAACAAAACTTCATAAAGAACTATTCACGTACATATTTCCGTTCTATTGAGAATCAGTTAAGTAATTGACTGATAAATGATTAGACTGTATAACATGATCAAAGCTTAAAAGTATCATATAGAATATATTTTTATTGTCTAAAATCTGTGGTAGGTCCTGGGTTCGAATCTCGCAAGTGTGGGATCGTGGATGCGCACTGTTGAGGAGTTCCACAATAGGACGAAACGGCCGTCAAGCTGTATTTCCAGGTTTTTCATGGTGGTCTAGCTTCAACTGACTCATGATTTTAACTATGACAATATCAAACGCTATCACCATTTTGAACAATCTAATTTATGTTCTTCATCCTATATTAAGTATGAAGAGTATTTTAAACAAAATGTCCATTTTTTTATTGTTTGCCATTCCTGCTTGCTGGAGTTTTTTCTCTGACATAGATGGTTTGGTCATGCAGTTTTCATCGTACTTCAAGTTTGTGAGGATGATGTCTTTCGAAAGAACGACGAAAGCTTCATGAACAAATCATCCAACTCAGAAAACAAAAATCCAATAAAATCATCCACCTGAGATACAAATCTTCTCCATCATTTCATTGACTTAATGAAATCGCTTGTAAGCCAAAATATAAATTAGTAATTATTTTTTAGTTGAATCGGTTAGTCGATGTAATCTAGCTTATAATAGACTAATGAATTCAACTACTTAATTACTACAATCTCCATGAACTACCATTCTGATCATAATCATCATATGCTCTCTAGTGATTGGCTTCAAGATGGATTTTCTGAAGTCCTAGTGAGGTGACGTGACCAGTGGAGTCCAATCTGTGTCGAGTAGGGACAGGTACATACTTCAGACATTGGATGGATGTTTGTGCAAGATCATCAATCAATTGAAGTTGAAAACTAACACTGTTAAATACCGTTCTAGTGGTTTAAAGATTAAGCGTTTGCGCGTAAGACCTAAGGTCCTGAGTTCCAGTCCCTTTGATATGGGATCGTAGATGCACACTGTTGAAGAGTCTCATAATTAGACAAAACGGACATCTGATACTTTTATGTTTTCAATAGTGTTCTAGATTACATAGACGCAATCTCCACAATTATCTATTCTGATCATAATTATTTTGTAAACTGAATAACTTGAATTAACTCAAGTACATAAATCTTTCGATTGAACACAATTTTTCTATTGATTATTGAACATATATTTTTTTAATCTTATCTTCATCTACTCCCCCCCCTATCCTCACTTTTGATTTCTTTATTTTTATTCATTCAATTCTTAATTCAATTTTTCTATAGTTTTCATTTACTATTATTATTTTTCATTGAGTCACCGGAAATGGTGCATTATTATTATTATTATTGTCATTACTACTGGTAGTTGTATTAGTAGTAGTAGTAGTAGTAGTAGTAGTAGTAGTATTGCTATGAGGAGAAAATGGACAAGTTTAATTTAAATGTCCAGTTGTCTATTTGCTTCTCATTCCTTCACTCATTTCATTGTATTCTATTGTTTGAATCTGTAAATTATTCATATCCGGTAAATGTTAACCAAAAATGAAGAATAAACAGAATTCATTTTATTGAAATCTACAATTAAACATACACAATGGTAACTGTAAATTGAAAGGAAGGGAAAAAAACTCCAATTATTTTTCTATCTTCTATCTCTTTTTAATATCAGAAGAGGTTTTGTGGATATTATAGTAATTTCAATAGTTGAGATTATGAGTCAATTGAAGCTAGACCACCATCGAAAACCTGGAAACACTGGACGACCGTTTCGCACTATTATGGGATTCCTCAGCAGTGTTCCTCCACTAACCCGCCTCGCGAAATTCCAACCCAGGACCTGTTAGTCTGGAGCGTGAACGCTTAATCACTAGACCACTGATCTGGTCGTAATCCAATGGCATCAATGTCTAACTTCAACCGATTCACGAAATTGAGCGACACATCCATCATTGTCTTCAGTGAGTTACTAGCTATCTCTTTCCCTCTCCCTCCTTCCCTCTCTTCATTCTTGAAAAAAAATCCGTTTAAATAGATGACTGATATTAAATATTTGTGAAAAAGTAAACAAAAAGTGATCGCGCGCTAGACTGATAGGTCCTCGGTTCTAATCTCTCGAGGCAGGGTCGTGGAAGCGCACTGCTGAGGAATCCCATAATAGTACGAAACGGCCGTCAGGCAGTATTTCCAAGTTTTCCATGTTAATCTAGCTTCAATTGACTCATAATTTCAACTATATAAAACACTTTTTGTTTTAAATACTATATCACATTTATTATACGAATACAGTTCATAGGTATGAAAGCCGATATATAACAATGTATATATATGGTTATCGTTACATTTATAAAGAATAATAGAAATAGTAAAACATATTTAAGTATATATAAGTAGTATATATTGTTCATCATTGATAGATTCATTCTATATTTATGGTTTATTAGTCATGGATAGAATTCATTACTCATGAATTAATGTTCTCTATTCCATCATAATGTTCTGCTTAGATGAATCGTTTAATCAGTCATAGAATATAACAATTTTATGACATTAGTGAAGTGTAAATAGTCAAGTATTATTATCTTTTGAGCATTGATAATCAATCATTTTATAGACATAAACAAGTAAACAGATATTCTTGTAATTTCGGTTCTTGACTTCAGTTAATTAATGTATG